CCACCCAGCACGCCAGATCCTCCGCGTCACCCCCTGCCGTACCCGAAGCATTCGCTGCCGCGGCGTCCCCACGGATACTGAAGCCCAGATGCTCACCCTCTCCGGCGACATGGACGACTCTTCGTCGCTGCTGGATCTGCTGGAGTGCTCGGTGTGCCTGGAGCGCCTGGACACCACGGCCAAGGTGCTGCCGTGCCAGCACACCTTCTGCCGCCGCTGCCTGGAGAACATTATCAGCTCTCGTAACGAGCTGCGGTGCCCGGAGTGCCGCATCTTAGTGGACTGCGGGGTGGACGACCTGCCCGCCAACATCCTCCTGGTTCGGCTTCTGGACGGAATCAAGCAGCGGCCCCAGCGAGGGAATGGAGGAGGAGGAGGCAAGCAGTGCGCGGCCGCCGGCTCGCTGCAGGGGTACGCGGCCGGGCTGTCCGCTTCTCCCCCGGGCAGTGCGACCAGAGAGCTGCCCGTGGCCACCAGGAGCTCCCCCGTAAAGGTTGGTCACTCGTGCAGTCAAACCCCAAACTCTGTTCAATTGTTCCCACGTTTTATGAACCTGTGTTTGTTTACACCTAACTTAAACATGCAGAGATGGAAGCTCAACTTAAACACTGGTTCGATGTTGTTGTTGTTGTTCGTATTTTGGTGGTAAATGATGTTTAAAGGGACCGTTGCACAATTGTTTGTGTTCTCTGCAGTTGGTACTGTTTGGTAACACAGTGTGACGTGACAAGATTTGTGTAATATTTTTGTTGTTGTTGTTTGATAACTTGACAGATTAACTAAAATATTTCTGCATCATTCTTCGTTGACCATGTGCCATTGAGAGATAACACGGCTGCACAGATTATTTGCAGCCGATACTGATAACGATTGTTATCTGCCCGATAACGGATATCCGATCATTTCTTTTTTTGTTTGTTTTAGAAATAACAAATTGCCTGACTTTTTATGTTGACCTGAGTATGATGATGAAACCAGACTAAAGGCAACATATCTGACACTAGTATTTATATTTATTATTTATATTATTGATATCTTTGTAAAGATATCAACTTATTTGATAACATATCAAATAAAACACAAAGTCAAATAAACAAACAAATACAAATATTTACCTCAAATGTTTACAGGAATTAAGCATATGTCTGTAAAGTCATTTTTATATCAGTTTTTATTCCTTGGCCTTTTCACTGTCTCTGGTGAATTTATTGGGCTTTGATTTTCAAGCCAGTCGAACAGAAACGTTACTTAAAGCTCCCTGTTAGCTGCGTCTATTTAAATTGTGGAGTTTGTTGTTGCAAAAGTATGAGACATTTGCCCTCGTTTGGAAATTCAGACTGAGCAACTACTGCAAATTCCAACGGTGGTTGCCCTCTGACACAGTAAAAAAAAACTTTAATGAAGATGTTGTGTTAGCTGTTTGGCAATTCCGTGCATGGAGTCAGTGCATGGACGGCCCAGTGTGTCTGCGTTTACCTGTCAATATCGTTCGATTTCCTCGTCTTGTCCTGACGTTTGAAAATCACCACGATACCAGTAAATATTGTTACTGGGTTTGTTGCCATCGTGCATCCCTGGAGGATGATGAAGCCTGAGTCACACAGGGTGAGCAGCCGAGACACATTAGAGCTGGCTGAGAGCTTCACCTGTCTGTGTGCGTGTTGTATCCACAGCTCTGCTGTTCCCCACAGGCTGCAGCAGTGTGAGGTTTCATAACCTCAGCTCGGTGAGAGAGGAACAGAAAGCCTTGTTTTGTCGAAGTGCAGCACATCCAGTGCATTGTGTCGAAGCATGTAATGTGAGAAAGGCAGAAGAAATGGGGCTGTAATGTGGCAGTGGTGTGACATCATAAAAACAAGTGCAAAAACCCGGGACCTCGGCTTCAAAATGGAATTCTAAAACCTAGCAAAAGAATCTTGGAGTCACCGCATCGACCCACAGTAGCAGCATGGGTTTGATGAGGTCAGATGTTCTTTAACGCTACGGTCTGTATAGAGACCTGGTCCACAGGTGCTGAGGCCAGTGGAACCATCTGTAGAAGGATGTACCAAACCAGGTGGTTCACACGAAGCTCAAACATAGTGTTGTGTAAATTATGTTTCACCAGCAGTAGCCAAGAAATCCCTAGTTTTTATATGGGGTGTAAAGTTAAAAGTTAAGCTCCTCCTCTGTGTAAAACTAACTGTAGAAGAAGAAAGTCGAAAGACGTGAAACCCTCTCGTTTCCCTTTTTTCTTACGTGATTTCTTGGAAACTCAGACGTTCCGATTCAGGCTATAACTTGTAGCGTCGTATGTACAATACTGATCCTAAACCTGCATGTGTGATGTGTGTGTGTTTTGCTCAAACCGCCAATGAGATTAGCATTAGCGCCGTCGTCAGCAGGTATGTCCATGTTTGCACTCCTCCCTACCTTTTAAGTTGAGCCGTGTCCCTGGTAGGAGGGAGTCAGGGAATAATCGAGCTAAGAGAGGCGTTGACGTCAGCCTAAACACCCCCCCCTCACGCCCCGCCTACACCCAAATCTCCCCCCCTACTGGGTACACAAAGACTTATCAGGTAAGCTACCCATTGATTGAAGCATCGGAACGCCGGTGTGATGAAGTGTAACTGCGGCTAGCAGTCGCTCATTCACGGCGATGAACAGGAATCCAAAGCCTCAGTGACATTTCCACTAACACTTAACACTCCACTCCAATTCACTCAATAAACTGCAGCGGTCCCTGCAGGGCGCTTTTATGGACGGCACATTAAGACCCATACACAGAATGTTACAATGGAGAATTTTTTTTTACGCCATAAATATGTTTGGACCATATGAGCCGTTAAACAGGCCTTATATGGCTTCATGGTGGACCTCACAGTGGACGCCGTTAAAACCCGAGTGAAAGTTTCCAACTGTAAATGACTTAATTACCCACTGGTGCATACATTACACCTACTCGCCCGAACCTAAAGCCCGTCACCGCGAGCCCTTCTCATCAGTCACCTTTCACTGGTTTCCCTCCGGCGTCTCGCGGGACGAAGGGTTAGCGTTGAAGTAAAGAATCAATCGGTCAGGCAGTGTGAGTGGGTACAGGGAGTCCTCTTTGACAACTGGCTCCACTTTGTTCCAGGTCTGTTTGAGATGAGCTCACTCTGCCAAGCGCACATCTTTCTTGGTGTGCCTTTGCGTGAAACAATAACAGCAGCATCCTCCAACAAAACAGATCAAAAAGATGAGAAGGAAGATGGTCGCCATCTGCAGAGACCACTCTTCCTCTGTCCTTGGTTTTCAATGGAGGGAAAGACAAAAGTTGTGACATTTGTTTTTCTTTCTTGTTTGAAACCAAAGTGGAAACAGACAGACTGTGTTTTGTTAGAAGACAGAGTTTTTACCTGTTTTTTTTCTTCTTTCTACGTCTCAGACTCGACCTTCCAAATTATTTAAAGATGTCCTCACTTCAGGTCAAAAAAAAAAAAACATTATCAGAGCCCCAATGATTTTGAGAAGTTGGTTTTAAAAATGAGTGATGTTTGGTCAGAGTTCACTGCGGTTCAGTTTTTAGGCTAGAAAAACAACCACATCGACTGATCGAAATCTGGCGTATTTTGAAATGATCATATCTGTCTTGTCATTTTTGACCTGCCCTTGTACACACAAAGACTTTCTGACCTTTTTCTCTTGTTATTTTGGTCATTTTCGTGCTCCAGGCCCGGTGTCTGCTGATGTAATGCATAGACAGAAAGGGCAGTCTAGTTCCTCTTGTACTCAGAGTTGGCCAGAAACCCTGTCATGGAAAAGGTCATACTTTTTAAGATCTTCTTAACGAGAAATATTCAACTGTTTATTGTATGTTTACGAACAGTAAAAAACAACAATTAGCAGAGAGCGTGTGATAATCACGTCAATCTGAAATGTAGACGAAAAAGCCAGGAAAAAATTATATATTTTTTTGGCGTTCTGTGCTGCTGTTTTCATGGACCTGCAGATGGAAAACAAACACGAGGCCAAAACTTGGGTCAGTGCTAAAAGTACTTTGTTTCAATCAGAAAGAGAGAAATCAAACAGGGAATCTCCAGCCATCAGGGGGATTTCCTCCCTCGTTCCGCTTCTTGTTCCAGCCAATTTGTGTATAAAAAGTTGTGTTTTCCTGATACCAGCTGTCTTCTGTTTACTGTCTTCTCTTTGTAGATCGATGAAATCCAGGACAAAATCAAATTTAAAGTTAAAAATGACGAAGAATAAAATGTAACTTTCAACAGAAAAGTGACTTTTTGAGGTGTAGACACTTCAACTCTTCACAATGCAGTTAAACCAGTGGTCAAACAAAAGGCCCGTGGACCAAAAACTGGCCCACTATACGGTTAAATCCGGCCCTCTTGATGAATTTCAAATGTTAAAATAAATGCACACTTCATGTTCATGATGTTTTGTAAAATTATATCATTTAAACAGGAATATATTTTTTGATATAGTTGTATTTCTTTGCATGGAAACAAAGGGGAAAAATGAGTTTGACGCCCCTGTGTTAAACAGACATTAGCGAAGTGACATTAGCATGTGTTTTGCCGATATGCTTGTATCATTAACAGGACAAATTCTTACAGTAAGTCTAAAGTACCTACGAAGGCAGTTGGATGTAGTAAAAAGTCGTGACCATGTGTCAGTTTCACCACTTCACCCTTCACTTCACGCTCGAACTGATGTTCAGACCTCGGATAAAAAGTCCCAGCCCTGAGAGAGGACGACTTTAAAGGACTCTTCTGTGTCATTATTACTTCCATGCACAAAACTGTCGCTGCGTTCCAACAGATAAACAGCTGCAGTTCCACCTGTGTTCACTTTGGTCACATAATATCTCCGAACACCTCCAGAGGATACTGGGCTGATTGAATCCATCCTCAGAGTGTCTGTGGTGCATTTACACCTGCACCGCCATGGGGTTAAAGCCCATTGTATTTCCAATTACTACAAGTGTGTTTTAATTTTGGATATAATTGAAGTAGAAGGATGGAGTTCTTTGTTGATGTAGAGACAAACAGCTGTAAGTCTGAGAGTGTTGCTAGGGAAGGAATGGAAATGCAGACGTGCTGACTCAGAGCTACAAGAGTTTGTTTTTGTTTTGTTTTTTAAACATCACTGTTTGGGTTCTTGGAGCTTCTGCTTCTCAAGTCTCTGTTTTGATCATCACCCGTCAATCGTCGCAGACAGATTTGTTCTCATTTCCCATTTTTCCGGTCTCCTTATCCAGAACCAGCAGTTTGTCCGGAGTTTAAAGTTTTGTACCTCAGTGTGTCGTTATAGTCTCTCTTGTTGTCTCTTTGGTCATTTCAACATCAGGTCACCAGGTCAAATCATTTCCAGCTCTCATCTTGGTCTTGGTCTGTGGTGTTTAACTTCAAAGCCAGGTAACAGCTGATGACTTTGTCAGCGTTGCTCCCTGAGTTGCACTGTTGTTTATCAGCTGTTGCAGAAATTACTAGCCACTTGCCTCCCCCTCCCTCCCCCCTC